CACTTTAATGAGTCAGCACAGTGAGCTGGCACAAGTGTGCTATCGCACAATTGGTATGTACATCGAAATTATTGATGATGTTAGTAATCGAAATCGATTTAGAAATGGTTATCCTTAGCTTCTGTTCGTAGCTGGCCGGCAAAATTTTAGAAAGCTGATTTCAACTGGTGAGTTCATTTGCAAAATAATTCCTCTTCTTGGATGTATGTATTATCTTCTAGCCCAGTTATGCATACTTAGCATTGCTTGAGAGTTGTCACATAAGAATCTGTTAAATGGGTTATCCATGTAAGCGGTTACCCAACGCATAGCACTTCACATGTAGAATTCTGTTTGGTTTTGATTTTTACGTAAAAATGGTATAGCAGTGCAAGTATGCATAACTGGGCTATTCGCCTTGCTTCTTGTTAAATGTGGTAGTCGTATATTCAATTGATGGTTAGTCTAATGATGCCATCTATTATGGTACTTTTTGGAAGATCGTATTGTGTGAATGTGTCAGCTCATCAATTGAGTTACCACATCGACACAGTTCTAAACAATGCAAGCCGCACCGAGCTATGCAAGTGTCAGCACATCAACTGAGTTACTGAGTTACAAATTTTTTCAGATGTGAATCTGAGCGTGCGGCACAGTTCTAAGAGTCAGCACAGTAACTCAGCACAGTGCTGAGTTACCCACCTCTAAGGAAAGGTCAAAGAATTGTCAGAGAAACATGTCTAATACCGAATACTTCGCTCACAGTCCCAAACAAGTGCGTTCATAATTTTGTTGTTGTAACTATGCAGAGCGGGAAAAGGAAATATTCACATGCCAGTATGACAATGGTAGCCAGGGAAGCCAACTCGTGGGGAATTCCCCGATTTGCGGGGAATTTCAGTTTGCGTGGGGAATGGACCGTTTTTTGTGGGGAATTTCAGCTCGTTAAATTCTAATATAACAAAGTTTCAAATCGCCAAAAATTACCATTGATTTTTTAGAATTTAGTTTGCTGCATTTGCTTTCAAATAACGAATAAACATAAATTATTTTCATATGGAAGAAACCCGCAAAAGCTTCGGCAAAAAATTTTAAAACGAAAATTTTTGGACACCTGAAACTTGATCTTTATTAAAATAGAATTGAGTGGGCTACAAAATGGCATACTCAAAATCTTTCTAGAAAATCGAGTTAAAAAGCTCGATTTTTTAAAAAAGTTTGTTGAATTTTTTTCAATTATTGCACACAGTTTCAAACTTGGATCTATTCGCTATTTGTTAAAAAATGAACTATATTTTTATAAAAAAATAACTCAAATCAAATAACGAAATAAAAATAACTGATGCGACTAAAATTTTTTCGACCACTATACGTAAATATGTACATATATGTATGTACGTATATATTATATAAACATTTTTTATTATTTATTTGTTAACCAACTTTATAATTGTTTGGTTTGGTTTATGAATACATAGATGAATTACATTTCAAAATAAAATAAACAGAAAGACCAGCAATATACCAAAATACATTAAATTTTTGTGTATTTTTTTGTAAATAAGGAGATATCTATGAGTGGGGAATTTCACAAAATTTCGGGCAAAATCGGGGAGTTTCCTTGTCGAAATCGCGGAATTCTCAAAAATGAGTTGGCTACCCTGGCGGTAGCCCAGCTCAGCTGCATATGATATTTTCTGACTACCTTTTCTGCATAATGTTTAGTCTTCGTCGTTTTTTATGATTTACATTTTGTATTTTAGGCCTGCTCTAGTTAATGGACGCTAGTATACCCCATCACCCATTCGCCAAAATATTCGTTAAAGTTGCATTTTCTTTACACTGACTTTAATTACCATGTCCGCTTACAAGCCGACATACTCGCACTATTACTAGGTTACTAAGCAAGTACCCTGGACCGACTCCATGCACGCGTGGTCTTTAAATCGACCTTTTCCTGTTTCGCCTTTCACCAACTTTGCGCGTATTTCTCCAATTTTATAACGCCACATTTCCTCCATCCTCAGCATCTTCATTCTCTTCTTGAATAACCGCTGCCGCCGTTTTAACCAGCCTTCCCATCCCCGTTGTTCTTGCCCCGGTACCAGCCGTCGTCGCCACTGCCAAAATATTTGTTGTTGCGCCGCCTTGCACTGCCACAGCGGTGGCTGTTGCTGCTGCTATGGCTGCTTCATTCGTTGTGACTTTTCTCGTCAGCTTTGTTCGGTCATGATGCACATACATTGCGGTCAATGCATTAAACTGCGGTCCCCAACCGGACAGATAGTTGTAGTCTTGATTCTCATCGTCAGTGCCTGTAATGAGGTTTAAGTTAATACATAAAACTACAAGTGAGTAAGACAGTATGTTGTTCTATTGTTAGTAACAATAACAACATTAGCAACAATTACAGCGCATGAAAGAAGTGGTGGCGATGGTGTTCGGAGTGTGCCGGTACGCACCTGAGGCCAAAGAGCTCAGCGACTCGGCTATGATACCGCTGCCCTCAAAGGTGAAGCTGCGTAGGTCGTCGAAAGGTGGCCCATTGAGATCCATATCAAAGAGTTTTTTACGCTCTTCCATAAGAAAACCGACGTTCACTTCTTGGCCGGGTATTAGAGTCATGACGGGATCTGTGCGATAAAATAAAGGGGGAAATAAAATATATCAAATATATACAGGGTGTCCCAGAAGTAACGTGCCAAACTTTAGGGCAAGGTAGGTGGGGGGGTGAGCTCACTGATAAACAAAAAATTTTCAGGTAAAAGTGTCACCGTTTTTGAAATATTTACATTTTTTCGAATTTAAAAAAAATCGTGCCTTTTCATGTGTTTTCTTTAACTGCAACTACAAACCGGGCAATACTTAGTAAATTTTTTATGTAAAATACTTCCAGATAGTTGTCTCTCCATACTCAAATGCAATGTAGATAAAATATATTAAGGAACCATCATAAAATTAGGACTATTTCTGAATTTTTAACTTTTTGATATTTTTTTCCCCAACTTTGACTATCTCGGGTGAAAAAAAATGTACTGAGCTATAACTTTACATTACATAAAAAAATTGCCCATTTAACAAAGATTTCAGAAAGGTGCCACACTTACTGTTTTGATTAGAAAAAAAAAGTTATAGCCGCTTTTGTGGGTAAAGGACTGAGACACGCTAGAATGTATTTAATAGATTTAAATTGAATTTGCTCTTGTT